GTGAGGCTGGAGCAGTAGACCCAACGTCACCGGACAGAAGAAATCCTCTGATGGCTTCTCAACAAACAGGTAATGTCCCTCATCTGGACTCAGTATGGAGTCCCTGAAATAATTTTTGAGAATATCTCTCACAAATTATACCTAGCTAACTACGCACAAACCTTGTTAAATCTGGCATACTCGCTGGGATATTGGTGCGATGATCTGCTTCAATTCTCATAGCTAGTGCTGGCAAATTGACTGTAGGACTCCTAAGATTATACCCTCCGTGTCGGTTTTGGCGATGCTTTTTTCAAGAACGCAGAAATAACTTGGATAAGCTGATCTTCATCACGCTGGTGCGCAGATTTGATGGCGTCGATTTTGTCTTTCTGCAGCCCCAACTGCAATCCAAGCTTACCAGCGTGTGGCGCTGCCTTCGCCAATTCTTCGCATAATTTCCGCGGCATTCTCCGGTGTTAGTAATTCGTCCATTCTGAAGGTTATAATGGCAACGACTCTCCTGCGCTTGCGGTTTTTAAAGGCACGCGGACGACACTCGCGGCCGGCTGGAGAGGCCACGGGCCGGTGCGTCGTTGTATCCCTACGCAACACCGACACAGTCTACGATAGGCCGGATGAGGCGCCTAACTAATGCCGGTCGGTCCCGGTATCCTTCCACTGCATGCGTCAGGATTACGGGCTAATGCGCCGCGCGATCTCCAGCCCTAGAACTCTACTCCATTCGGCGGCATTCGCTGCACTCTGCCTGAACGAAGCTGTACCTGTTTCCAATCTTCGTGGTTCCAAGGTGCAATTTGTAAAATAGGCTAGGCTGGCCCGTGCTTATGTAAGTTATGCACGAGCCATCATAGCCCTATTGCTGAATCAACTTCTTGCATTAAACCCGCTATCTCCTTACTATATACTAGTTCAAGCGCTGATTTTTTTCACTCATGAACGTGTCCAATTTCACCGGAGGTGTGCACGGACATCAAGTGATCGTTGCTTTCTTACTGCAAGTCACTGCGGTAGATCATGGAGTCGACACTGAACAACACCAAGATGCTGCATCTGTGAGCCGCGCGCATGCGCCATGCAGGGGTGTTGTCCAATACGCTGTGCGCGCGTATTTCTACCAGGCGAGTTGACTGACCCGCGGAGCCTATCTACAACATAGCCATGAACATCAGGGTGACTGTAACAATAAATGCAGTGTTGTCATCAGCTGTTAAAAATTGTGGAAAAAAGTGGAAAAATCATTGTTTGAAGCACCAAAAAGGAAGAAACAAGGGGTCATTCCACAGCAAAGATACACAAAGCTACATGACACCATCCCTATATCTTGTTTATAAACAAAGTTTAATATCGAACAAAGATATGGGGATGGTGTCATGTGGCTTTGTGCGTCTTTGCTCTGTTAATGACCCCTTTTTCTTGCTTTTTGGTGCTTCAAGCCATCCCTAATATATCCTCCTTCATTTTGAAGAAATTATTTTTCCACTTGTGTCTGTTGAACTATACTGCAAGCGACCATTAAAATGTCCGCAGGCACATAATCGGTCGAGGTAAACGGTGCTAAACACAGCTGTTTTACTTCTAAAACCAAGCCAGAGTAGCGATGGACCTATTACCAAAGCTTTGTTTCTTTTTGCAGAAAACATATTTTTGAACTGTAGCTGTGCATGTGAGTTAAAGGGTGGAGATGACATACAGAGCGCTCATGCACAGCCAGACATAAACTAATCCTCACTGTGCATGCAAGCGGAAAAGAGTTAATTGTGGGCACCCACCAAGATACCAATCCTATGGCTATATGGGTAATGAGTCAACACAGTGAAATATTCCATACGTTGTTAATGGTGGGCATCCACGGCAACGATTCTTACAGGTTATGTTATATATCACATGACAGAATGAGCAGCTATATAATATACTAAAATGAAGCAGAAACGTGTGAGTCATACTGTTTCCTGCAGATCTCTGCAATTATTTTTATAATTATAGCTGGTATCTTGATGTATGTGGAGGGTGTAGTGTCTGGGGAGATCAAGGTCAGTTAGGTTAGCATTCTCAACATTGTTAGTCTGGAGACACTGTGATACCACTACATTTTCAGTTCATTGACCACAGTTACTCATAGCTAATGGTGGGTATTAGCCACCATGCTACCAATCCTGGGCTATGGGTGAGTGAGACATTCTACATTGTTAATGGAGGGCATCCAGCAAATAAACCTGCAGGCTATGAATAGCATATATAATTATTACTAACAAAATGAAATGTATAGAAGTGCGTGTTTCCCACAGGAGAACTCTTCAATGTGGAGGGTGTAGTAGTAGCAATCGAACAAGGTCGTGATAGTGGCTCTTTCTCCCTCAGAGAAACTCGTTTCATAGGTCGCTGGGCCGTTTGACCGGTCGGTGTGCCGCGGCCACGGTCGCGCTTGCCACAGGGAGCAAGAGATAGCTGAATGAAGGGGTGTGGTCGCCTCAGCCATCCCTCGCCTCTACAGCCTCTACAGAACAGTTTTTGTCTACACTATGTGTACGATGCTGGTGATAGTTCAATAATTTTTGTATTGAACGTTCAATATTGGCCATATACTACAATACGGGAAATAAGAGTATGCGCGGCACCTTTGATCCGCCCACGCAAGTCACAATAATGTACGTTTGTGTGAGATTTTACTCTTCACTATACTCGGTATTAACTTTTGAGAAAAACTATAGCTCTGCAAACAACATACAGTTTATTGCAGATTGCTTCTGATCTTGAAGGCGAGTCCTTTCAGTTCAATATCTTCCAGGACAGTGACTAGATTATCCCAGGTACATGGAGATCTCCCTACTCCTACAGGCTATATGGATAAGGTATACCCCACATGAACTCTTGTATGTGGAAGGTGTAGTGTGTGCTGCAAGTCAAGGTTGGCTTACCTCAGCATTCCCAACATTGTTAGTCTGGACTACCATATATTATCAGTTCATCAACCATAGTTATTCTTGACTGAACTTCCCCACTGGAATGAGTGACTTTGTGTAAAACCTGGGAGACTTTCTGTGTAGCAGTGGTGTTGTAATAGCTACCCACACCAAGGCACTATATAACTGTTATGCACATGTGCCTATATAGACACATACACACTCTTTTAGTGTGCATGATAACAATTTATGTCATCACCTCAGTAGGCTTTCTTCTTTTCAGTACGTTGATATTGTATGTTTGTGTGTAAGAACCCATAAACATTACTCTATACTGGGATTAACTTTTGAGAAAAACTATAGCTTTGCATAGCAAGATACAGTAGAACCTCCTATAATGGACTCTCCGAATAAGGTAGCTATATACACAATAGAAAAAAACCTCTCAATAAAGGACACACTTTGAGGCCCCAAACGTTCACTTTTCTATCAGACTATATAGTACATTTTAACCTTTTAAGAGAGGACAACCTCTCTATAAAGAACAAAATGCCCGGTTCCAATGTGTCCATTATTCAGAGGTTCCACTATTAGTTCGCTGCATCAGTCCGAGCCTCTCATCTCTGATATTCTCGGCCATTCACCATCACCTCCTGCTTTGCTTCCTCCTGCGTCAGGCCCTCGGTATGGGCAGCCTCGATGCCAGATTGGTCCTCTCGCAGAGGATTGATGTTCCTCTACGTCAACGTACTCTCTCTCCGTCGCTCATCGATGAAGCCTCCTTCGATGTTCTCATCGAGTCCTCACCCGGTGTTCGTTCAAAGGCCTTGGCTCTCTGTTAGGCCCTCCCCATGCTGGGGATTGGCTCAATGTTGTTCCTTCTCTGCTCTTGGCCTTCATCTCCTGGACCAAGAGTTTAGCCCCTGTGTTCAATATTGGGCTGGGGCTACTAATTTTTGTGGAGGGGGTAAGGTGCCCCTGTCTGCCGAAGCGTTGCTGACTCGGCGATCACCATGTAGGTTGTGGGGGTAATGGGGATCGTATCCATCGTCACAACTCTATCCCGGGATGCAATATTTTCAGCAGCACAGACAGCTGCTTTAGCGCCCCGAAGGAGTTGCCATCTCTCGTGCCCTGCTCCCAATCTCGCCCTGCTGACATTTTCCTCCCTAACTGGGAAAGAGGTCGTCCAGCCGCACTTGACGTCTCCGTCATTTCCATTCTGCAACAGCTTACTTTGAATGGTGCAGCCAGTGTCCAAGGGCACGCATTGAGAGTAGGAGAAGAGAGGAAGATGGCCCTTCACGCAGCCTCATGCCGGGCTGTGGGAGTGTCGTTTGTCCCTCTCCTGGTCGAGTCTCTCGGAGGCTGGAGTGATCTCGCTGCCAAAACCCTCTCCAGTATCGGTCGGCTCCTAAGGCAGCGGCTGGGCTTACCTCCCTCCGAAACCACCCGTCACCTCTTCCAACGGTGCGCTATTTGCCTCTGGAGAGGAAATGCAACTCTGTGGCTTCACCTCCCCCGCACATTGACAGTATTATTTAACGTTTTTCTTTGTTGTTTTTGTTGTTGTTGTTGTAGTTGTTTTCTTTTTGTTGTATTTTGTCTATTTGTTTGTTTGTTCTTTGTTTTTGCTTTTTTTTGCTTGTCTATTGTATCGTTTACTTATATATCATAATATATTTCCAAAACCTAAAAAAAAAAGAACAAAAAAAAAAGTTGTATTCGCGTACGTACCTACGTGTCGGTCCACGTTTAAGAATGTCAATTAGTCACGCTTAGGAATGTCAATTAGTCACCGAATTCGTAGGAAGTCTAGCTTCCGCCGTGCGCGCAGATTCGTATATAGGAAGTCTGGCTTCGCGCGCCGTCAGTAGAGCGCGCGCACGAGCGGCCTCAATCGGACTGTTTACGCATTGGCTGGCAGGCGCGAGGCAAAATATGCGCGTGCGCAATAATATTATGTCATCACCTCAGTGTACATAGGCCAGGCCTTCTTATTTTCAGCACTTGATATTGTATATACGTTTGTGTGAGAATCCAAGAAATTTTACTCTTCACTATACTCGGTATTAACTTTTGAGAAAAAACTATAACAAGATACAGTTTATTGCAGTTTACTTCTAATCTTGAAGGCGAGTCCTTTCAGTTCAATATATTCCAGGACAGTGACTAGAGTATCCCAGGTACATGGAGATCTCCCTACTCCTTGCAGCCACTTCATGGCTATTTCTGTGTTTATGTTCTCAATTTTATTATCCCTGCATCTGGTAATGATAATATCGGTCTCTTCTCCTGTGTCATCTTCAAGGAGCATGATGCCAAACTGACGATATTTAGATCGGATCCTCTTCATGATGTGTACGTGTTCTTCACCATCCACTGGAAACCTCAGGAGAAGTGGAAGTTTTGGAGTATCGGATCCAAGGGGGCCTGAAGGAGTTGAACCTGTGACTGGAGGCTTTGTGCTCCCACCGTCCAATAGCTCTACTGGATTTGGAATAAAACTCAGTGCCATGGGTTTTCTTTTAAAACAATACTATATGTCCATGGATGTGCCCTTGTCAGTAGTTAAATTTTAGCATGCTAGCTATGTGTATTTTCGGCAACAGCGAATGCAGAGCGAACGGAGCGAGCACACACTAATTATATCTGTATACAAGAGCAATCCTAGCCTATATTGCAACTTGTACTTTGAACCACATCCGAATGGACGAGAGTTTCTAGGGATTGAGAAAATAACCCACAACGCATTGCAGTTACGGTGGACCACTCGATCCCGCTCGTCCAATCTACGGACACTAAATATTCTGGCTGCATAGCTATAAGCTACACGTACTTTTCACCATAATAATATTATAAACACAAACCCTAGACATTTCAACTGCATCCAGCAGTCCTCATCAGTGGTGATGTACATAGTGACAGGCTGCCATGCCCATTGTTATTTACTCTGATCTGTGGAAGAGAAAAGGCAGCTATAATGGAGTAGTCTGCAGACGAAATGTCATCTGAACGAGGAAGAGAAGCCTATGGGACATATTCTACATCCGAAGGTGTGATAAAAGATGCTCTAGCTCCCAGTGTTAGCCTAAGCCTTTGCACTAGGCCTTTGAACTAGGCCCCTATCCCTTAGGGCCTATTGCCTGTGTGCCCTAAACAGGTTTTTGCCGTAGGATATTATTTTTTGCCTTAGCACTATATAGCGTTCTAGTCCTAGAGCAATTATTTTGCCATATGAACATTATTTTTGTGCCCTAGCACATGGATTTCTAGCCCTAGAAGTTTTTTTCATAGCTAGAACAGTAGCACAGGCATTATGTTCACATAATTTACAAGGCCCAACTTCCATTGTTTGTCCTATTTGTGAGCAAGGTTTTTCCTGGTAATTTTCTGTGTATTATTGCTATTGAGATTGCCTTGCATTACTATATTATAGTGCATTGCAGGAGTGCACCTCTTTGAGTAAATTTTGGGGACTTTGGAGAAATCTCCATGTTGTAGATATGTAGATAATCAGTGCATTGAAACTAGTGGTGGAGTGATAGAGTGTGTTATTAACCCGCGCGCGCATGCGCAGCACGGGTGTTAGTTTTGTCTCTCTGTCTGTCTGTCTGCATGAGTGTTTGTGTGTGTGTGTGTGTGTGTGCGACGCTTATACAGGCTACGAGGTGGCCTATTAGCGATACCAGCGGCTTCAGACTACGCAAGCCCTGAAAACGAAAAAGGCGATTTGTCCGGAAATGTGCTGCGTTCGAGAGATAGATACGCCGTGAAAACAGCGACAAGGCATAATCTGCACGTGGGCTTTTACAGCGATCTGATCCGCTCGCTCTGTGTATCTTGGTGAGGCTCGAGAAGTCACAACGCATGGCCTTGTATTGTAAAACCCACCGCAGAAGTGGTCAGTTGGCACTGGATGTGGCGGTTGGAGCTTTGATGTTCCTTTCATCTACCCTTTCAGTACTTCAGTAGATGAGTGACTATAAGGAAACAGGGCAGGCAGGTGACAAAGAGAAAAGGTATTAAAATGTGAAAAACGGCAACAATGATGTATAAAACATACAGTAGCTATATACCTACAGGGAGAGATCACATGATTTTCACGTGGCACACCACTCCTTGCTGCCAGATCCATCTCTATCCAACAGACTCTATGGAAAACTTTCCTCAAAAGTGTCTGAGTACCAGAAAACAACTGGCCGTCAAGATTTTGTTGAGACAATCAATTGCGGGTTCAAGGATGGTCTGAATGGGACACGTGACTATAGAATGATTCCTGGGATTATGATTCTATTGGCACTATCCTATTCAGTGCTGATGGCTGCTTTTCCTCACCACGGCTTTGACGGCACTCCGCCGCTCACAGTTGGAGGGATCTTGCCACTGTCGGCATTCTTAGTTTCTTATCTCCGTCCCTGCAAGGACCTGCCCACAAACATCTCTCTCAGTTTCAACCTCCTCCTAATGGGAGTTCTTTCGTTCCTCACTGTTCTCTGGTGGCAGGACATGTTGCTGAACTCTGAGCTCCTTGCCTCTTGGGTGGTTGCCCTCAGCCTCATACCACACACATTGATGCTCCTCTGGGTCCTGTACCGGGTTCTTCAACGCTTCAAATGTCTCTCTCGCAGTGTTGAGGCTGTGCAGCGACAGCCTCTGGTCCAAAGGCTTCTCGGCCTGACTTCAGGCAGAGTCTACGCACTCCAACAGACAGAAGATGAGAGTCTTTATGATGAGGAGAACACAGCCACTCCTCTACATGAAAACTGGGCCAAAGAACACATTCCTGATATTGCCAGCTGGTCTATGTGACTTTTTCAAAATCACTTAATTTATTCTGAGAGTGTTGTGTGTCAATATAGTTAGCTAGCCATTAGCTTTAATTTACAGGTGTATTGCATGCTCATTTTGTCACAATAACCACTATGAATGATTGTAAGAAACTTTAACAATTAAAGTGCAAACCCTCCGCTAACTGCGCGTGCACGGTTATATACCGTTAAATTTAATGGCGTTAACTCGTGGTCTCCCGCTAGTAGCTCGCGGAGACTCTAACACTGCGGGCTAGCTACAGTAGTAGATAGCATGCAGGAGTCGATACACGCCCTTTGTTGTGACTTCTTGTGCTTCAAGATGCGCAGAGAAAGCGGACCGGTCTAAAGCCTATGCTAAATTGCAGCTGGCTTGTTAAGTAAGTCGTTCGTTTGTGAGACGAACGAACATAGAAGTGAGATGTTGAGTAACAGACCACGGAAGTATACAGACAGACAGCTACCCTCGCTGCGCATGCGCGCCGAGGGTTAATTAGTGCGCGGCTTCCGGTACCCCCCCGCGCTTCATGCGCGTTTTTTTGCTTTTTGCCCCCTCATTTCTAAAATCATGCCTACGCCCCTGCCCTAGCAACATCGACTTGTGTGCGCGCAATGGGTAGTTGGGCTTGTAATTGTATTCTAACATTGGGGTATAGCCCTTACTCACGCATGCGCACAAGAGGAAGGGGCTGGGAACCAGACTAGCTCTTTTATGCGACGGCACACACATTTTGTTTCTGAATAACACATATAGTATGCGATTGTGAGCTGCAATTGCATGGTGATTACACTATTGATAATCACTAGTTGTTTGTGAGTCTCGAATGCTTTAATTCATGACCGTCACTTGACATCATAGTGTCTACGCACCTAATAAGGACCCATATTCACAAATTGCTATATTATAGTTAACCCTCGGCGCGCATGCGCAGCGAGGGTTACTGTAGTTGTCCCGTAAGTGTGTCTGTCAGTCCGTCAGTCTGTCAGTCTGTCAGTCTGTCAGTCTGTCAGTCTGTCTGTTACCACGTTTTCTGCCACCGCGCACACGAAATGAGGTAAATAGCGAAAATTATGATCGGGTTCAGTGCTACACTGGGTTGATTTTAAAAAAGGCGATTTTCGTAAAACTACTGTGTTTTTAAAGTTATGGCGTGAAAACCAAGTGAACAAGCCAATATGTAAATTAGCACAGGCTTACTTCGACCGCGTCTGTTCGCTCTGTGTGTCTTGAAGGCACAACAAGTCACAACGAAGGGCATGTATCGACTCCCGCATGCTATTTACTACTGTAGCTAGCCCGTGCCAGACTCTCTTGCGAGCTACTAGCGGGATACCACGAGTATACATTAAAAGCCCAGCCCATCAATTAGTGCTACCGCACTTGCGCAGTTCGCCGAGGGTTTGCACTTTGGTGCTTTTCATTTATTCTGTGCACCTGTGTTTTTTAGACAGCTATTCCATTTCTAGATGTTGAAGTTGAGAAGGGACATTTCCATACATTGAAAAGGAGGTTTTTCTATTGTCCCAAAAAAAATACGTTTGATTTGTAACAGGAGACCAACAGAACAGGGTCGTGAAGAGCTACAATGTGGCACCAAAGACAGGTGCAGACTAATAAAGTTATTAGTATGCATACTCAAAATGAAAGGACTATAGTTAGCTACTACCACCACATCCCTCTTCCCCTCTCTTTCGTTTCCTTCCTCTCTCCCCAAGACTGAAAATTGTGTAGAAGCAATTAAAATGGGCGTTCAAGTAGAAAACATAAGATAATTCCGAGTCAGTGGCAGCACAAGAGATTAAAAAGGCTTCATGTCCCATTTTTATGAGCCCAATATGAACGAAGTTGGCTAAAAGAACAAAATTGCTCGAAGGTTACTATTTCCTATCAATACATGCACAATCTCCCCATAGCTATAATATTCGTGCACAGTGTGTGCAAAATGTACTGGAAATGCATGCATACAGTGGCCTGATTTCAACAAGATTCATAGGAACCCAATAGCTGATCCATGACATGTTATTGTCTCATGCCTTGACTGGAAGGCACAATCCTTGGAGAGGGAGAGAGGGGGATGGCACCGTCAAACGATCCATAGAGTTCCACAGCCTGTCCATAGTATCCATATGGAACGGTAAGGTATCAGAAAAGTATTGCATTCAAAAACCTATGGTATAACTTAGCTGTCTTGCTTGCTTCAAGAGTAGCAAAAAGCATTTAGACCATGGGGTCTACTCAACGTAGTTATATAATTATGCCTATGCATGCAAGGAAACAATGACAGGTTTAATCAGCAAAGGTTGGACATCATGTTAATAATAATAATTATGTGACTGTATACACAAAAACCACGCATTTTGGTTTCGCAAGTGAGCCCCGCACTGTCAGCAAAGCATGCTTAGTGAACTTTTATACTTTTACCCGAAAGAGTGAGGCATCACTTGCTTAAGACCTAACTGGTCTGCATGGATTTTACTGGCCTATGTGCCTGCTTTTTTTTCACAACGACATATTGTTTTGGCATCATTATCATGTTATGTGTTTGACATTACTAATATCTAACTCTAATGTGCTGCACTCAGACTTGCTTTGCTTGCAGTGGCTCTGAATAATGCTACCTTCCCTGCCCTCCTCAACAGGAACCAATAATATTCACCAAGTGCTTTATTACGTAGCCAGGTATATACCACCTCAGCTTTTGATTATCTGTGAGTGCACCACACCTTATTCACTACCCCTCTCTATCTGCTCATCCCTGGCCATGATTTCTTCTTCCCTCCCTCCCTCCCTCTCTCTCCCCAAACCCAGTGCCAGGTGTGTATTTGAACTGTCTTCATGTGTGGTCATGCTCATGGAGCACGTCAGCTGACCTGTCACA